ACCATAGCTAATGTAACTCAAGTTTCCATGCAATTGGTTCATCAGCCCGCAACACTCTACCAAAGGAATGCCTTCAGGTTCAATGTAGGTAGAATTTACCCATTTCCTAAGTCTGTAAGGACAACAAGAAATTGGACAGAGTGGGACTGGAGAGTAGCCCTGAACAGGATATATTTTAGAGAACTAATTTCTCTACATTAAATGTTTGGATTTCACTAAGTTGAAAGTATTCCAAGACAAAGATGACTGTTTCTAAAGCATTTTTTCAAAGACCTTGTCATGGTTTAACCCCAGTAAACAACTAAGAACCACAGTGCTGCTTGCTCACCTTTCCTCCTCCCCCAGTGGGATGGGGGAGAAAACCAGAGGAAAAAAGGTAAGAAAACTCATGGGTTGAGATAACAACAGTTTAATAATTGAAATAAAATAATGATACTACCACTACTACTAATGACAACAATACGTAATAAAAATACTACTACTATGTAATGAAAAGGAGAACAACAACAAAGAGAGAGACACAAAACCCAGGGTTGGGGGGAACAAAAACCAAGTGATACAACCTCTCACCACTCGCTGACCAACACCCAGTGTTTCCCTGCTCCCTGACCAACTCTCTCCAGCTTATATACTGAGCAGAACACCTTATGGCATGAAATGCCCCTTTGGTCGGTTTGGGTCAGCTGTCCTGTCTCCTTCCAACTGCTTGTAGAGAAGAAGCTGGCAAAACCAGGACAGTATGAGAAACTGAGAAAGTCCCTGGCTTAATGTAAGCATTGCTTGGCAACAAGTAAAACTTCTATGTTACTTCTATTCTTCTCAGCACAAATCCAAAGCATGCTGGCTATGCTGGCTAGTATGAAGAAAATTAACTCTATCATATCCAAAACCAGCATAGGCTTGCATTTTGATTTGACACTAACTTAAAGTTGGATTCTTTAAAGTAATACGGTGCCCAATAAAAATGTGCTACAGGCTAGAGCAGAACAAGATCTTTTGTATTTAAAACCCACCTTCTTTACTATGTATTCTTTGCTCTTATTTATCTTTGCAAGTGAACTCTGAATTTGGGACTATGTCTACATGGTGACATGGTCTTTCTCCTTCTTTGCCAGGGGGTAAGTGAAAGAGGAATCTCTCTATAAGGTGTTCTTCCTGCAAACCAGAAGGCTTATAGTCTCACTGGAAAACACTCATTTAAAAAAAAAAGGAAAGCACGAACAGGTTTAGGGAGGAACCACTGCATCACTGTGACTAAAGACATAGACATCTATGCTTTTTAAATCTGACTTTCAATTGCCAGAAAGGTCTGAGTTTTCACACAGTGCCCAGGTTACCAGATAACAACAGTCAAAGCAACTGGCTGCCCAGGGAAGTTAATCAATCATTTGCTCTAAGCATCACAACAAGCAGACCTACTCTACTGGAAAACAATCTGTTTAAAAAGAGAGAAATGAGGAGCAGAGAAACTTTATCTGCTATGAATACCAGGAGCTTATTCCATCAAGAACAGTCTCTTTAGCAGCCATAACTATTTCTGCTGTAAATAACATGGATATGTGTTAAATCAGAGCCAAAAATCCTTTCAGAATACAACAGTATTTAGGTCATCTGCACTCTATTGACAAGCACTGAACTCTGAAACCGTAATGATGTAGCTCAGCAACAGTGCATGCCTTCCCACTAATGAGGCCCTTTTTCCATGAATAATGAGCGTGGACATCAGCTCTGTTGCCAGGTACATAATATAAACACAATTTAACACATGGCTTTTGGTAAAGCAGTGTATCTGCTTGCAGAGGCTGAGGTTTTGTATAATGCTATCCAACTTTTTAGCCCAGGGTGGGGGCAGACTGCTCAAGGAAATAATTTGTTCATATGTTATCAAAATACAATAAATCAGGTTTGGTCTTAGTCAACAACAGGCAGTGGAGTGGGACCAACAGAAACTGCAGATAGGAAAGTATAAGTGAGTTCATTGTTTTATATTCCAATAAATCTCACAACACATGAAGCTGATGAGTTCGAAAATGAGCTGAGACTCCCTGAGATGTGCCTTCTGAGACTCATGAACTGTAAGGGTTATACCGGTTAAGCCTGTGTTTGCAGGGTCCTTCTGCATACCTAGTGTATACACACACCTTTGTTTATATATGGCGAGGCAGGAGTTGAAACTGCATGGGTTCAAACAAAGTAGGAAGAGTTTTATTTTGAAAACCCTCATTTGTTACGTTTATGACCTCAGTTTTGACTCTAAGAGATGCTTTAGAGAAAACAAAACACACTTTCAAGTTTTATCAACTTCCATGACACGAAGTGCCACCATGGTATTGTTTAAAACTAGGGATCAGTGCTTTAGTACACAAAAGTAGACCTGCCACAGGAGTTCAGTCTGAGATCTGGGAGGACATGGCTTAATTCCCTGTCCTGTCACAGTTCTGCTGTCTCCCAGTGCTGTTATAACTACATTAAAGACTAGAAGGTGTGAACATCCTGTGGTGCCTGGGGCATAAAAATGGGTATTTACTTCCTTCTTAACATGCCAAAATAAAGTCCATGGGGATCTACACCTGCGTCACAGGATTTACTGAAATACTAAGAGCTACAAGAAAGAGACTGATGTTACCATTTGAACTACAGATTTCTTCAACCAGACTAAGTACAACCAAGATCTGTCCCAGAGTCATTACTACTACAGGACAGCAGTACTCATGGGTCTGGGTGACATTCTGGTCTCTGCTTAGAATGATTTGACTCCAGAAAGAGTTGAAAACATTCCAGGCTGGACTGGTAGCAGTGAACTATCACTAACGTTGCCTGTAATCAGCTGCTTATTTATCTTTCATTAAATAACTTCAGCTCTGCCCCAGTATACTGCAGGGGTCTGAAACCCATCCGGAGATCGTATTAATATCAAGCCAATGGTCTATTGCTAGCTTCATTAAAATTTACCTTAATTTCTTGAGTTATAAGACATTAAAAGAAAGCAGTTAGCACGTATTCAGTGGAAGCTTCTGCAATTTTTTCGGTTACACCCTCCAAAGATTCTTTGCTCACCAAGTACACGTCCTAGTACTCCAATAAACTTATGCATCATCCCCCTGCAACTGTTCCATGTGACGATATGGGGCCAAGTATTGGGGCTGATGGCTAGAAGCCTCTGTCTGTGTGGGCTCTTACTGCTTCACTTTTTGGCATCCAGGCAATGCAGCAAAGAATGTCAAATGAAAAGGATGTAGAAGCCTCAAAGAAAAGGGAAGCTGGAAAAGATGTCTGGTAAAAGAGGAGTTGGAAAATGTATGGGGAGATATATCATGACCATCACTGCCCTGAGGAGAAGATTGGGATAGGTAGTTAGGAGAGGCAGAGGAATGGAATTGGGAATGTGCCATACTGGCTGAACAAGGAGCCTCTGTTAGGAACTGGGAGCAATAGAAAGCTGAAACTGGACACACTCCAGCACCTCAATGTCTTTCTTGTAGTGAGGGGCCCAAAACTGAACACAGGATTCCAGGTGTGGCTTCCAATGGAAGGCTGCTGGCCACGCTGTTCCTCATGCAGGCCAGGTTGCCACTGGCCTTCTTCGCCACCTGGGCATGTAGGTGGCTCATATTCATCCGGCTGTCAACCAACAGCCCCAGGTCCTTTTCCACCAGGCAGCTTTTCAGCCACTCATACCCAGCCTGTAGCCCTGCCTGGGCTGTTGTGGCCCAAGTGCAGGACTCAGCACTTGGCCTAAGAATGCTAAGTCCTTCCAAGAATCAAAGAGTCGCCAAAGCACTGTGGATATATGCTCCAGAGCCCATATTGGTTGCCATTTATAAACAGTACCTCAAATGATGTCCATCTACCTTTTCAGAATTTTGAAACATACAAGCCTTAAAATCTCTGATCAAAGAACACCAGAAAGGCTGCAAGAGCTTGTACTTAAGAACATTTTAAAGGCTATGAGATCAATGTAGAGAAAGAGTTAAGAAACATTAAAATTAAGCTACCTGTTTCACTTAGTTCAGCTATTTGATTCACATGCGTCATGATTTTTAGTTACACGATTACATAATACCCCTTTCACAAATTCCCTTGCCATACCCCAGCGCACAGAATGAGACTTTTCTGAGGATGAATGAGGACTATGGAGTAACACAACAGGAAACTGATGGCTGTAGGATTCCTAATTCACTTGTTGCAGAACTTGGAATGCGGATAGGGAGTAAGCCAGGGACTGAAGGAAGAGGATGAAGGGTGGCACTGTGCAGGTTGATGAACGCTGATCAAAAGAACTAATTGTATCCTGTTTCTGTCACAAACTTTCCACACAATACAAGGAAACCCCTATTAACTTAAACTAAACAAAGTATGACAGTTGGTGCTTCTTACTATGTCCTTTCTGTGCTTGACACTGCTGTCTCGAATTCGAGTTCAAAGGGCTGGAGCTGAAGTCAGCAGGAGCTGTGATTTGAACGTATGAAGTGATGCAATGCTGCATAAACCAATGCTTACTGAGAAAATTAATGCAAAAAGTTCACCTAGTCTTCTGAGCTTTCCAAGTTTTCCCCATAAGACATGAAGTGTGCTACTCCCTGGACTGCTGTGAAGTTAAATCAATTAATGTTTGTAAAGCACTTGTATGCTACTAAGTCAATACCCACAGAAAAATCCACAAGGGTACTGATAATCCTTTCTTCAGACAAGGTTTGAATAGCATGCAATAAAACGTCTGCAGCACCTAAACAGCCATTCTTTAAACATCAATAGAAAGCAAAGAAAGCACTGAAGAGCTGTTAGTAAGTGAGTCCCATTACCCTGTACAATGAATTAAGCATAGGTTGGCAGAAAAAATGCACCATGTTTAATCTTTGGATTAAGGACTCAGTAAGTGGATCTATGAAGCTCATGCCAATCCCCTTAATTACAGTGTTTCCTAAATTTTAAGAGCTTAACTTAGAAACATTGCTTCTGTGTGTACCAGATAGAGAAAATATAAATATATATGAACTTACCATCATACTTTGCTAAGACTGCCTGGACATCTGCATACGCTTGCAGTTCCAACAAAGCCTCCAGCAGGTTTTCATGGATGTTGAACATGCTGAGCAGCGGAAACTCTTTCATCAGCTAAAATCAATAACAAGTGAAAGGGTTAGATTAACACAGAAAAGGGTTTCTTGTTCAAAATGCATTGAAATAACCAACACCAAATTAAAATCCCTCAAGTTCCCCTTGTTCTTTGCTCTTTCACCAAGTTCACTATTACCTCAGAAATTTCTGAGCTTTTAATGGACACTGGGTCAGGGTTCTGAACAAGACATGCTTTACATAGGATGTAACCAGTCAAATCCTAGAACACAGCTGCCTCAATACGTAACTTTCCTTCAATCAACAGGCTTCTTCAAAGCGAAGAACCGTTATCTTAATTGCACTGGAAAAGAATCTTCAACAGTGCATCTCCTGTACATCAGTTGTATGTAAACCAGCATCTCTTTTGTATATTAGTAGAAAACACATTGAAAAAAATCTGAGTAACATCAACTGACAGAAGCTTACATATATGCAACTACATTATCAAGTACGTGATACTAGGATTTGTAATTGCGGATACTTCAGAACACAACTGCAATTGTAGCCAATTGGAAAAAAAAAAAGAAAGAAAAGGCAGCAACAATAGGAAAGGTGAAGTTTATACAAACCTAGCCCTACAGCTAAAGAATCCATCTTGTATGACAAACTGAATTAAATGTGTAGTTAAAATAATCTAATCCTTCTTCATGTAAGTGCCTTCATGAACTAACCCTTTGAGAGACACTAGGGATTTGTTCTTAAGACATCCTCAGTTTCAGTGTCTGCACAGATTCAAATGACTGAAGCTGACATTGTATTCCATCACATTTTCAAAGCTTCACATATTAGAAACATCCATGCTTTTCACTGCAGAATTGATGAAACAGTATTATTTACTGCCAGAGTAATTCTCTAAAGAACTGAAGTGAATCCTTGCTTCCTTGTGTCCTCTTTATGGTTGTTATAACTTAACTGCCTACATGATGTACATTCAGCACAAAAAGGTCCCACACAGTTTAGAATTAGGATAGCTGATATTACTATTGTTCTTCAGGAACTTGCAGGGAACACCATCATTTGCAATCTCTCTGAGACGGTTTATAAGAACAGAAATACTATAATGAGTCAGGTAAAGAAAATGATTCAAGGTCAGCCTTGCTCAGTTTGAAAATAGTAAGCTGGGCCTGAAAACTCTGTCACTTAATAAACCTACCTTTGAAGATATAAATAGAGAAACTGATGAGAACCAGCAAATGTTAATCGCACAAATAGGCAACATGAAGTAAAATAAGTCAGGTTTTGGGTGGGTGGGAAGTGGCAGAGATTCAACAAGAAATTCAGTAAGTGAGAAGCAGGTAATGCACTAGAGCTTCTTCACTCTGTTAAGGAAGAGACCTTAACAGGTAAACAGAGATGAAAAGTGCAGACAATATCTTCCTTGTGTTAGTGGTCTGGCATGAGCTAATGTAAGAACTATTCTGACCTTATGGGTTAAGTCTATCTAAACTAGGCTATCTGGATATTACTGACTTTGCTGCAGTTTGAGGATTATTAAAATAGCAAAGGCAAGGATGGCAGTGTTTTGTTTAACTGATTATACAAATTTCTGGTGAAAACTATGATCACTGACACAGAAGCTGAAAGAGCTCACTGAATTTTTGATGCTAATGGCATGGGAATGGCCATAAAGCTCCTAGTTTCAAAAGCAGGAGCTGAACCTGTGAAAAAGAACACAAACAAAACTGAGTAGTTTGCAGGCTTTTCTCCTTCTCCAGTTTAAAAAAGAAAAAGATCACAGGCCTTCATGCTCATCTAGGTAAGTGGAAGGATTTGACAATCAGATAAAAAAATTAAGTCATTGCTCATGACATGAAATAACTTCAGGTGAAAATTCACATAGTTGGATTCACCAGTTAAGGATCTAGCATACCGCCTACTTCTCTTCATTCTTATCCTTACTCACTATTGCATTTTTAACAGAGGAAGCTACTATTTGGCAGGAAGAAGCATGACAGAATTTGGCCCTACGAAAACAGTGATTTAAAGTTCAGAATGAACATATTGCAAAGAAACCCCTCCAAGGGATTAAGAAAGATTATCCCTGCTCATTGAGAATGAATAATGGCTGGCAGAATAACAGTCCCTCCATCAGTGAAGAAAAGGGAAGAGCTGCAGCTAGTTATAGATGTAGTGTGGCCAGTTAAAGCTCTTACTCTGATTCTGTGTTTCTCACTGACATCACTCACTGATTACTTTTTCCTATTTTAATTAGGTTCTGTCAGAGTGATAAATCCTGCCTAAGACAGCAGCAGAATAAAGGTCACTGTCTGGACCGTGAGGCCTCCAAACTGACAAGTGTTAATAAAGGTTTCATCTGGGAAAGGTCGAATGTTAAGAAGTCCAACCCAGTTATAATGAACTCAGTTAATATTGTAGCTGTAAGAATAAAACACCTCTAAGTAGCTACTCGGCTATTGGAACACTGACTGTGCACAAACAATAGCATATTTGCTATGAAAAGAAAAGAAAAGAAAAGAAAAGAGAAGAGAAGAGAAGAGAAGAGAAGAGAAGAGAAGAGAAGAGAAGAGAAGAGAAGAGAAGAGAAGAGAAGAGAAGAGAAGAGAAGAGAAGAGAAAAGAAAAGAAAAGAAAAGAAAAGAAAAGAAAAAGAAGAGAGGACATGAACTCATTTCGCTGTCATCTCAGGATGTCGTTTTCACTGCAAGTAATTTTCAGTCACAAAAAAAAATTGGGTTTTGAAAAACTTCCCAGAAAATAAAGCCACTTAGATGGAAGAATATTATGACAGCTCATCCTTTAGGCCTCACAGTGAAAGCAAACACTGGGGAAGAAAAAAACCCCACCACAAAGGTTGCAGTATAGGCCTGCTGGATGGGCGGAGCAGGCCAAACACTGCGTCATGCTGAGAAGCAGTGGGGAGCAGACCATGAGCCTGCTCCCCTTCCCTCCCCTCCGTTGCAGATGGAGAGGGAGGCCGGCTCACATGCCACACCGAGATGTAAAGATGGGCACATTATCCCTGAACACGAGATGAACGCACCCTTGAGTTCCCCAGACCCTTACGGCACTGAGCTCTAATCTGGACTCTGGTTTAAAAGACACAGACCTCCCTTTGCACCCAAAGATTTATTCTCTGTGAAGTTACAGACTAACGTTTGCCAAACTGTTTGGGTTATCAATTGTAATTCTCTTCACATCCTTACTGTAACCTGACGGATGCTTTCATTTCAGTGGCAAGCACTGCACTTAAGACGAAGGCTGTTACCTTCCTCCACACCTCCAGATCTCAAGAGAGAGTCATCAAATTCAGCCCTCTAGATTTCTCACCAAAGCCACTGCAGCTCTTCACATAAACACTAGTTAATGCTAAAGGTTTCATTGTAAAATTCCAGTTAGTTGGTTCCTCAGCTGCTATGAAAGCTGTGCTCCACTGAGCCAAGCTGATTTTCATACCTTATGAAAACAGACACCGCACTGCTATGAATGTATCCCTTTGCAATATAACAATGTTCAAACAGCTACTGAACATCTCATACCAAATCTGTGTTCACAAGGATTTCGCTTTGAACTTGTACTGGTCAAAATACTTTCTAGTGATGAAATTCTGGCCTGGGGCTGGCTTATTCCATGTTCTGTCCTACTTGCTTTGCATGTTTGGGGGAAATAGATCCATGTGTAGAAAGTAGAATTGCTTTTTGTTGAAAGATTCATTCTGCAAATATACAGAAATGGTAGCTTTTGCAGGTAATTAATAATTTTTAGCTTTTTAGATAAATAAATTTTGGGAGTATAAGTTTGCAGAAAAAATCTGGAAATACGTCTGACACAACTGATATCACTAGTCCTGGGAGGGCTGTATTTCGAGACTCACCCCAATCCATATTGCAGGGTGTAGGTTCAATGATTTTGTGATGGATATGAAAATGTGATGATCGCAAAAAATTCTTGACGGTACAAGGAAATTCACATCTGATTTACTGGATGAGGAACAAGTTTTATCTCCCAAAGAGCAGTTTAATGAAGAGGACTCCCTTCCCCGAGAATATTTCAGTCATCAGCATTTTCACATTTCGACCTAATTTTTGAAACATTCTCAAGGAATGTAGCTTTAACTGCTGCATCCGTTATTCTCCCTGTGATGATATTAACATCATGCATCAATTAGCAGTGATACATTATTTGTGTAGAAAATAGCTTAAAGCTACAGTTTATGCCTACGACTAGACCATGGGACTCACGGGAATACAGAGGTGGATGAATGAATGATCTTATATATAACCTGGTGTTGACATATTTATTCTCCATTTGCATTATGGCTGTATGGTCACACATGTTACGGGCAGTACATGCAACCACTCCTTGCTGCTTATACTCGTATCTTCTCAACAAAAAACAAACACATTTTTAGATCAATGTATTCAGCTGAATGCATTCATAAATATGAAAACTGAATTCAGCTTCAAATCAAGAAACAACAACAAACAAACTAGAGAAATTCAATGCAAACAGCGAAACTGTTACATCCTTAATTCCTTGTTTATCTGTTCCTGCAGTGGGTATCTGAAATGGTAAAATCTATCTCCTAGAAGAGGAATGACTGAGGCTGCCACCTTCCAGGTCCAACTGCCCAGGCTGGAGGCATTTGCAACATACATGTCTTTCTGACTCTCTGATGCCTAATAAGGTACAAAGTTTTTCTCCTGGCCAGCTCACTCGGCAAGGACAGAAGGGAAGAAACACTGCCAGCAGACTAAGGCTCTGTTAACAATGTCAGGTGCTTAAAAATCATGCCAAGTCCTGGTCCTAAAAGTGCAACTCATTCCAGTTTTGTTTGTATTCTTTTTCACAGGTTCGGCTGTCTCACTGTGAGTGGGATTAATGAGCTGTAAACAGACACTCTTACAGCTCTCAGGAGTTGAAAAATTATCTGAAATACACTGGACCTACCTGAATTAAAGTTCTGCTTAATTACACCAAAACTAGGATTCTGTCATTTA